GTATTACTTAAAAATATTAAAATGAATTTTTCTGCGAATTTTTTTGCCATTCAAATATTGTCGTTACAGGTGCTGGATTTGATTATGAAACTGCTATGGTATCAATAATTGGGCATTGGTGTTACAGAAGTTTTTGTAATGACAAAATGAACAATGCTTTTTATATGACAGATTGACTATACAGTTATCAATAAGTGAAGAGCTGCTCGGTGGCACGTTCCAAATCCCAATTGAATGAAGATAAAGCAACTCTTGCATTGTGTTCCTCAATTCCCATATCTGTTAGCCGTCTTATTTTATCATCTAGATCAGGCATCTTTGCTGGTCCTGAAATTATTTTTATATTTTTAAAAAAGGAGATTTCCAAAAAGACATTTAATTACGAATATATTAATCGCACTTACCACCTGCATATACATATGTCCAATGTTTGGCAGTTTGACGGAACATTTCCGGATGCTCTTTATATTGCCTAGCCACTACCGCATCTTGCGGATCATCTGGTTCTGCTGCCGACAGTAAAGCTTGTAATGATAACAATACCGTACGCAAGGTCATGGCAGCAGCCCTTAAAGTAAACATTTTTTAAAATATAACATTTTTATATATCTATGTACAATTTTCATTTTACCTTAGGTGACACAGCTACATACCATTGGTCTTTTAATATATCTAAACAAATAGCACCTGTTACTGACGATATATTAGGATGCCATATTTTTGTTATAAATCGTACCTATAATGAAAAATATAATAATTAGTTCATTAGAAGAAATACATATGCTATTGCATCTCCAACATACATAATATTTTCGAATATAAGAATCATTAAGTTTTTATTTCAATATTTTATAATACTAACTTAAAGTATTGGGAATTTTATTGAAGTATAAATTCAAGGCTACGAACTTGGTAAGTGCTTTGTCATGATGTAGGTTATACTGATTTTTTTTTAGCCTTAGGTAGCGCATAAATAATACTCTATCAGTAATGTATATTAATTATATTGACTTACAAAGTGCTTACTTTAGGAGGATTGAAGGGATATGTCTCGGGAACTTTAATCTCGAGTACAAAATTACCTCCCTCATATGGTGTATCAGGTGGACCAGCAATTTCACCTTTTAATTCAGTAAAATTATCATTCACCAATTCAACTTTAATCGCACATTTTGCAACCTATAACAGAAATACATTATACATTATTTAAGCTGAATAAATATTTTTGTAACTAGTTTATGTTACCATTATAATAGTTAAAAAAAATACGCATACTTACATGAGTGAATGTTGCTACAATTTGCATGAAACAAAATTAATCTTACATTTTTTACATCTTACAAACAAATGAATAATAAAGTACATAAAGTTTAATAAGATGGCAGTGTAATTAAGTTGCAAATGTCTATTGTTCATTGACATTTCTTATTGGCAGATAGAAAATTGTCAAATAAATTCTATAACACAATGCTTTTATTGGATAGCAGTTTTGTACGAAATGTATTATAGTGACGCATATCAAATGTGTACAAAATACAATGACCCATTGACATTACCATCCGATATTCAAATAATGCAATAATACAGTGATAATTTATAGCATCTTCATAACAAAGATTAAAAGATTCTGACGCAATATCTCGGTATAAACATGAGAAAATGATAGATGAAAGCAGATGTTTTTGTGCATATAAGATGGATCTTCTAGGAGAACGCAAGAACAAACCAGCATGTCAGTGCTCACACAATTGGAAGCCATGTGGTATGTACTACTTAAACATATATTTAATGAGAAAAAAGATGTGTCATTGAGTAATTTTATATTTAAACCGAAAATGAGAAAGCATTATTTTGGATAATCAGTGCTGCATTTTAATTCACTGAGGGACGTAAAAAATTATTCTTAATTATATTTTTCCTTAAGTCAAACGTTTAGTAAATATGTCTTTCATTACAACATAACAGAAGCGTTTGAATAACGAGCTTAGGAACTGATGACAGTTAAGAATACCACACAACAGGTGCCTATGCTTTGTTCGCGGTGATTTTATCATCCAATGAATCGCGGCACATATTTGTCATGACACACACGAAATCTCTTCGTACGAAGTTGTTGAACAATTCGAATATTTCCATCACGTAAAGGACGAATCGTACTTTTTCAAATCATACGAAACTGTTGTTCGCTCACCTCTTCACTCCTTATAACCTCTTTGAATTCGCGTTGGATTCTCAATGCCGCGATGTTCGCCATATCTTCCGAAACGGTGGGACAGTCAGCACACTGTCATCGTCATTCAAATAAATTAATAAAGTTCGCTGAAAGGCATCAACGTGTGCAAACCTTTTAGGTGATAAAACCCAAGTTTACTCTTTCTCTTTCTAGTTAGAGAAATGGTCGTTTCTAACCCGTGTTCTATACTAAAATCTCCGCTCACGGATACATCCAATTTATCATTCAATCACCGCCGGCGCCACATTGATGAGAAAAGTTGACTGTCACCCGCTCGTGTGTTCACTCTTTCGAATTTCGTCTACGTTCACGTCGTTGCTCGTCATGGCGCCAATTTGCAAATAGTGAAGATAAAAATTCAACAACCATTCAATCGTTCACGCAACATAAGTGTACTTTTGATATACCTTGTACAGAAATGTTCAAATTCATGCGAGAATATGTGTTGAAGAAATAATCCATAATAATATTGCTAAATTTGTTCTCGTGGATAAGGTTATACATTAAAAATGTCACGAATTCAAATTTCATAGTGGAGGAAACTTATTGTTAATCTATTCTGAATCACAAGTAACGGGAAAATAAGTAAGAAATGCAGTCTAAGTTTATAATTCGTTTTAAGACGTAATTTCCAGGGATATTACGTTATGAAATTATAACTATATCGATAATCGTTAGAAGACGGTTAGATCAGCATAATTAGTCATGAATAATATATTTTAGAAATATCGTTGTTTTTAATACGTGTCTAAATAGACTTGACTTTTATAGCCGTTGTGTCGAGATAATAAAAAAGTTTGATAAGAAACGCGCATTTACCCACGCGGTTACGTCGGCCGATCAATGGGCGGAGCGTAACAATATACGTCACATCCGGGTTTAAGAGCATTCGCTGATTGGATAGTCTCTTTGCGGTTTCTGTTTTAGTGATGCCTGTGTCCCAGCCAGTGCGTGCTAAGAGTTTGTTACGCGCAAACTTAGAAAACTCTCGCGGGCGACTATTGCAGAGCAGAATGCCAAACATCAAAGTCTTCAGTGGTACGTCGCATCCGGATTTAGCTCAACGTATCGTCGACAGACTCGGTATTGATATTGGGAAAGTTGTCACCAAGAAATTCAGCAACCTCGAAACATGGTAATGGTCGCAATACCACCGCTATAACCACGTTATTGTCATTTCATTGAACCACGCTTCCGACCACATGTCACGCAAAACCTCACTTAAAAATTTCTCTTCTTCATCCAATCTCTCCTCATAACGTAACACATCTTCTATATCCTCGTATTATTCATTACCTATTTTCATCAATTTTTAACCCTACCCGTGTACAAACAACCCTGACGCGCAAGGCCGGTTTACCCCGTGCATTACCAAACCGCGACGTTCAACTTGAAGGTCAACTAGTATGTGCACTCATTATTGCATATTCTAATGAATTCTAGTGTGAATGTATCTTGGAGATAGATATGTATTCTTGGAACATGTTAATTTATATTGAAAATTATAATATTTTTTCAATAATATTACAGTTGTTTTCTGCGTTCTTTATACTTTTACTCTTATTTTAGGATATGCAATATCCAAATTAAAATAACCTGAGATATCAAAAACCACATATAAAAATGAAAATAAATAATACATATATATTATAATGTTTGCAACTCTACTTTGATAATGATATACGTAATACTTTATGCATAATACCAGTTACTAAACCTATAATAAACATTTGTTTCTTTTATGCCGTTATTAGTGTGGAAATAGGAGAGTCTGTACGAGGAGAAGATGTGTATATAGTACAAAGTGGAAGTGGAGAAGTAAATGACAATCTGATGGAACTATTGATTATGATCAATGCATGTAAAATCGCATCTGCATCTCGAGTGACTGCAGTAATTCCTTGTTTCCCATATGCAAGACAAGATAAGAAGGATAAGGTATGATATATTGATAAGATAATATGTACGTTCTATTATTTCCATAACGTATTGGTAAAATTTCTTAAGATATATTTAAGGAAATAATGAGGATGAAGTTGTAGAGTCTTATGTAGTTCAATCGCTATCACTTACGTTCTGTGAGATATATACGTCTATTGATATTCGTCACAAATATGTAGAGGAAAATTCATACTTTTCAGTTTCTCACTTCACAAGATCGTGTGTAAAACAGAATGATAGATTTTATCTGTATTATGTTATAGTACTTGTTGTTTGTTCTCTTGTCTATCTAGTCTCTATCAATGTCTGTTGACTATCTATGTAACTGTTATTTTCACATTTATATAATCTCAATTCATCACTTTATAAGGTATGAGAGCTTATTTATTTGTGTCATTAATAAAAAATAGTACAACTACCTAGGAAGGGAAATTATAAATATGTTTGTAACAAACGAACTTACAAATATAAAGTTTTAATGTACGTAGCACTTTAGGTATAAATGTGCTGTTTAATTAACATAATTAATAATTTTGCATATAAAAAATAAAATAGATATTGATGAAGTAAGCAAATGTTGCAATATAATACTACTATCAAATAACTTTTGTAAGCACGTAATACTATGTAGGATTCTGTGTTCTCACGATGGAATCTCGTAGGGAAAATATAAATTGTTAAAGGAGAAGTTAATTTTTTTTATATGATATATTCACAGGGTGGTGACGGACACGACAACTCAAAATCTAAGAATCGTATTGTCATGAAGTCAAACGAGTGGAAATTCAGGGTAACTTGTAGCGGTCTTTTTTCCCTTCTATTTATTGTTTAATAGCTTTGCAAGAGACCACTGGTATAATATCATTATTAAATCGCGAGACACATAAATTTCATCACACGAAATGTGCATATAACTTTTGGCTTACATCATTGGGTTATATCAAGTGATACATTTTGTAAAATTCCATTATTTATTTTTCATTCTCTCTGGATTCTTCATATATTTAACACGTGTTAGCATCTATGTGGAGGAATGATTTAAAATTCCAGACGTAAAAATTGTCATGTTTATAAGGACATTGCATGAAACACATGCTGTATTAAAACGTTTATTGATCTATATTAGTAATGTCTCGTGCATAATATAATATAATATATAAAAGCTCAAAGTTAAAAGTAGTCGATTTCTATTTTATTCATTTTGTGGGACATGTTTTTGGCAAAAATACACTTGTTTTTTAAATTAAGTTTAATATAAATTTTGCATGAACTGATGTTTCAACATTCGTTTTAATTGAAACACATACGTGGTCTTAATACAGCACTTTATTATTTTGGTAAATGGGACAGAAATGGTATGAAAACATTGCCTAATCTTACAATAAAAAGTTAACAAAACAACAAACAATAAATACGTACGTTGTAGTTGGAACATTGCGTCTAGCAATTATCTAAGGTTATCGGAAGCAAGATAACCCACGTGGATATTGCAAAACTAATGTAATTCATCGAGGGGGGCCTTTCGTGCGTTCTTACTGTAATATTTACATATTAAACGCATTTCACTTGGAATTTATATTTCTGACAAATTTCTGCCATAATAAGTTTACTTAAAACATTACTTAATGTTA